ACAGTGTGGGAAGCGATATGTAAATCGATGCTAAATTTTAGTATGCAGCGGAGTACATGTACCACATATGTAGAAGAATACCGTCTGACGAGGTATTTTTTAAGACTTGGAAGGGCTGTGTATATGAAGCGGTAGAATCTGTGTATGTGGCCGTGACTGCAGCTATGGGCGTGGGTGTGGTGTGTGAATGTCGGTATGGTATCTCCGTATGAGTGGTGGTGGGAGTGAGTGCGGATTCGCGCGTGGCGCAGAGTGGGGATGCCCTAAAAAATACAGACACAGACACAGGCACACCCGCAACCACAGCCACACGCGTACCCACACTGACACCCATAACTGAACAATATGCCAGCACAAGTACTTACGGAAAATGGGTTTATTTTTCTACCGTTTTCACGCTTTCCATCGATTCAAGTGCTGTGTGATTTCTGTCGGGCCGTGCAAGCAGTGTTTCACTGGTTAGAGCGTGACAAAATCTTCCCAACGATATATGATATGCGAGTGGGCATCGCATTGCAAGAATCACTATAAGACTTTCTAATCCGGAATTCGACTTTTTAATTGCCTTGGAAAGTCCTTATCGGTCAAAGTCCCGTCTGACTCATGTTGAGTCGTGCAAAGTGTACATCGATGGACAGAGCGTCGAGCCCTGCATTGAAGGGTATACGATTCGACAGTGTCTTATATACTCGAACGAATCGGCATGAGAACTCATGAGAAGCAATCCCAACCTTTCCGGCGTTTGAAGGTTTTCTGGGCCAAGGTACCATCCGATTACCGTTCAGCCGCGCAAGTTCCATACCATTTGATAGAGCGTCGAATTCTGCATCGAATGGTATATGATTCTTCATTGGCTTATTTACTTAGACGCATCATCACGAGAATTAATAGTCAGAAATCCCATTTTTCCGAGAATTTCAAGGTTTTTCCGGGCCGTGGTCCGATCGGATTAACGTTGAGCCGTGCAAGCTCTACACCGTTCGATACAGCGTGAAATTCTGCATCGAATTTTATATCACTTGTCAGTGGCTTATGTACTCGAACGAATCGTCGTGTTAGTTACTGGGGAAATCTCAAGTTGTTATAGTTTTGGAAGGTTTTTCCGGGTGAAAGTGCGATGTTGTTGATGTTGATCTGTGCAAGCTGTACACCATTCGATAGAACTCGCGATTCTGCATCGATTGGTGTGGTTTTTAAAGGCGGCTTAAGTTTCTGGACGAATTGTCATTGGTAATACTTCCGAAAATCTGGTTTTTGAGGTTTCCATGGAAGCGTGTATGGTATTAAAGAGTTCTATGAAGATGTATTATATACCATTAGATAGAGCATGAAATTCTATATCGACTGACCTATGATTCAGGAGTGGCTTATGTACTCAGGCGAATCGTCATGGTTTTTAGGGAAAATGCTAATTTTTCCCTATGTGTCGTATGGATCATTTTGGTTTTTGTGGCGATCAAGTTGAACTTGCCGGGAATCTGACTGTATGGTTAGATAGAGCTCGTCGAGTTGTAGGTGGCTTACTAGTTTTCTTTTGTGGCTTATTCGCTCATGCGAATCGTCACGGAAAATACTCGAATCGGCTGCTAACTTTCCTAACATTAAATTCTTTTAGTTTTTTGAAAAATATCGTTTTTAATCACTTGCAAACTTTTCAGCTTATGAAAATTCTCCCTCAGGTTTATGTCATATTGAAAGGATATTATCGAATTTGTAGAAAAATGGAAATTGATCTCGATCTGTATCAAATATTTCTATTCAACATCGATTGAATGATTGATTCATTTTTAAGAAGATTATCAAAAATGAAATCAAGATGTCAATCATATTCAAAATGAAATCTCCTCCAATCAACAAACACAAAGTACAATACATTCGTTTTTCAAATCTTAATTGCATGTTTAAAAAAATGAATTCGAATATTGATTGTTATTCGAATAATAGCGAGAAAATTTCATTTGAATTCTTCATCAATATGACAACATGTTCAATCGATTGGCAACTTATCTTTGAAAAAAGAGATTTTTATTTAATCTCATCTGAGTTTCCAGAAGATCTTCATGGTTTAGCCATGAAAATGTTTCAGAAACAAATGATGAAGCAATATCTATTTGAAGACGGAGAAATCAAAGTGAAACATTCAAAAAAAAGAATTACTCGAATAGTCGAGAGTAATGAGACGTGTTTTGTCTCGCAAGTATATGTAACTCAATAAGGAGAAAAGGAAAGAAACCTTCCAGAATAGATTTCTATTCTTCTTGAATGCTCAACTTCGAAGATATAAAAAGAAATTTTTGATTTAAATAAATTTCATCGGTCTGATTGATAACTGATGAATTTCGGCTCGATTTTCTCGTCATAAACATAATGGTGATGAAGAATTTGTTGTATATTAGATGGAATATTTTCTGATGAAATCTATGGTAATCATGGTCCGATGAGTTATTGTCGACATGGTATTCATACTGAACATGAACCATGGACTGATGAGAAAAGAGCTTTATTATTAGTTAAACTTCGTCAAATGAATGATCGAACAGAAACACCAATTATATTTGCTGATACATTAACTTCATCCAATTGAAAAATGATCGATAGTGAGAAAAACGACGACGTCTAGATTTATTTTCTAGTGAGAAAACAGGTGAATATGTTTGGATGGAAAAATGGGAAAGTGGATATGAAAGTGATGAATGGATTGTTCATTCAGATAGTGGTAGTGATGAAAATAATCAACATGAATGTACAGAAGGATATCAGATTCGTTGATCAATTCAATGGGTTGGAAAACAATTTTGTGTGAAGAGTAAAGATGAATGTCAATTATTTATCAGAAGTGACCATTTAACAATAAATCTTGACGAAATCAATGAGAGTTGATTTTTCAAATAAATTATTCCGTCGAACAGTTGATCATTCGATGTGACAACGAGATGATGTTCTGGTAAGAATGGTTCCAAAGATCGTTCACTTTCTAAGATGTCTTAATATCCTTCGTCTATGGTAACCTCAGCAGTGTGTACTTGTTCCGACAAAATTCTGTATTGATTGATTTCGAATAGAAACAATGCATGCGATAATTGACTTCTATCTTGACTTTGATAACGTTTCAACATCTTCAATATATTCATCGGACTCGATCTGAATAATAAACTACCTAGAAATGTTGTTTCTGACTAAGAGCGTCGAATTTATTCGAATCAACTTTCGCACTTGTATTGGAATGTGAACGAACAACATCAAAAAGCCTCAGCACTGAACTTATTCTGTTCGCTCGACAACCCACGACATCTATAATCAAGGATACGTATTTGCAGAAATGCACGTCAGTCAACAAACAGCTTTTATTCTTTAATTCTTATGAATCACACTGGGTTGACATTGACAGATCATAAAAAAAGATTCATAATCTAATGACAATTTGATGACTATGCTGAAGTTTCTCATTTCTATCATAGATTCTTGTCAATTTCAATTCTATGCCAGTTTCAACGACATCTGATGTTCGTGATCGAGAAAGTGAAAGGTTAGTTCTATTGTCGTTAAGCTAAAGAATCATTGCAATATCAATTGATTTAGATCAACAAAACCGAATCATCCTGTTCCATCAAACAATTTTCGTATTTTAAAAGTGCGATATGGAAATCGTGTAGAGAGATGTAAATATTGTGCAAATGCAACATCGTCAAATGACCTTGAGAAATGGGTCAGAGAAACATTCGGCATTACGAATAACACAATATTCCGATTAAGAGGAGAAGATGGTGTTGTGTTTATCCTGGCACCGATTGATTTCGAGAACGACGAAATCTTTCGATTAGAAATCGATCCAGAAATCAATTCAGGTTGCTTTTTTGATTATTTGATCAGTGTTTTGTGAATGACATTTTTCTCTAGGTTCAATGACTTCAACTTCACCAGTACGACCAAAACATGATTGGAAATACTATGGCAAGGTTTTACTTAATAAGATTAGAAGACTTGGTCTGAAGTGATTTTCGATTGGTTGGATATGGTGATATGACGAAAGATGATGCAGATAGATCGTGCGAATTTCTGTCCGGTTTGCAACAGAAAACACTGACTGAGAATTATTTCCCAGAGAAGATGAAGTGACTAGTCGGGAAAATGATAAAAGGAAATGCTCATTGTTCACTATTCGGTTAGAAAACGAAGATTATTTTTTCTCAAGCCAATTTCTTCTAGCGTCTAGCGTAATACCTGACTAAAAAATGACTTCGTTACTCATTCTATTCAATTCTCTGAATACTACACTTCATGAGAAGAGCTGGTATGTGAACTAGACAAGTAAGTATTGAAGAAATAACTTTAAAAATAGAGAATCATTGATGATCTTTTTCTACTTCAGATTGTTTGAGTGTTAGATCGAAAAGTCATAGTGCAATACTGGATGCTAGGAAAATGTCAGTAAGATCATCTTCGTGATATTCGGAATGGAGGCCTATAGATTTCAGTTATTCTTATTCTTGATGTTTAATCAGTCCAAGAACGTAGCTTCCAGAACCAGACGAGAACATCAAGTAGCGTTTGTTATTTGTCGGATGCCGTTGTTGGTTTTTATCGTGTCACAGAGCAATCACTCTTGTTTTGCTTGATCAATAAGCAGAAGACGAGTTCGATCATTAGAATATAATTAACTTTTAGTGAAACAGATTTAAAAAATGCATCTTTTCACTTTTGCCTTGATATCCTAGATCACCTATCTTATTTAAATTCAACTTCCACTACAAAAAAAATGGGCTAATGGCCAAGACTCATCCTACTCGAATGGCTACAGGTGAGCCATTGTCATCAGTAAAAGATCTGTGTTTGCTGTGTTTTTCTAACCACAATTGTCATTGCTTTTATGCTAAGGCTATTGTGTCTTGCTTATGTAGCTTAATACATTGTATTGCTGCCTTTTTTGAACGTTTTTGATCAAATTTGACACGGAAGATCATGCATTTGTTTTCTATTTTAGTATCAATTTTCGTTTGTCAGAATGGTATTCTCATGGAGATTTTATCTGCTGAATATGGCTTATTCACATCTCTCTCGACAACTAGTACAAGTGATACCAAACTTGGCCACGGATTTCAGCATACCTTAGCTTTAAAGAATACAATTTTTGCTATTTTCTACTTGATATTGTTATTTTTTTGTGTTCGACCAGCTGTTGAAGCTTTGGTAGATTTCATCATTTCATGCTGTTTATCGTACTTTAGGTTTCTCAATATAGTGTATCGTATTTAATACACTTTTTTCTAGGATTATGTTATCCCATTTGCAAATCTATCAACATCAACTCATGTTGATGATATTTGAGATAACAGACATAATAATCCATTCCTTGAAGTCTAGAATATTTGTTATCTCAATTATATTATTCTCGTTCCCTTGGGATAATCATGTTATGGCTTCATGTAAACAAGCAAATTTCATTCAAGCATTTATAATTCCATTAAAGAGAAAATCACTGAAATAAAGAAAACTAATTATTGAACATAGATTGATGTTGTCTTAACGTAGGATATTCTAGGTCAGGATTCGAGTTTTTTGTGAATGGATTCGCCATAAGTTCGTCCCCAACTCTGAAATGTTAGTCTTCAAGTAGAACTAAGTGTGCTGTGTCAGATCCATACCATCTTTGTGTAAATATGTCAAACCCTAGCCAACCATACCGAAAAAACCATTGAAAAACATGGTAAAAATCAGCAAAATCCGAAAAAGCCTGTCGCGATTCGCCCAGATTTAGTCTTCAAGTACGAGACACACATCTAAGGATAGATCTCGACGAGCTCAATCTAATGCATACTTTTTCGAACATATCTGAGTATTCAGTCATGCGTGAAATTGCTAATTAGCGCGTAATTACTCCGTTTTTCAGTTTCTGGCAGTCGCGATTCGCCCAGACTTAGTCTCCAAGTACGAGAGACACATCAACAGATAGATCTCGATGAGCTCTATCCGATGGACACATATTGAATCATCTCCGAGTATTCAGCCATGCGGGAAATTGCTAGTTAGCGCCTAATTAATCAATTTTTCACTTTTTGACCGTCAGGATTCGTCGAGAATTAGT